ACAAATAAATCAATAAAACCAACATTTATTGAGTACAGGTACTGGGAATCAATAGATCTGTATCCTTGAATGCATTTAGTGGTTAAACAAAAAAATGTAACTTTCATGTGCAAAAAACAGTATTTGAAATAATTTAACATCCTGTTTAAAAGAAAAAAATATGACCTGAAAGTTTTCAAAACTATTAACTATCACTACCTTCCTGCTTTTCAAAATGTTTTCCCGTTCAGTTTTTTGGAAGGGAAAAATTCTCCAAAAAACAGTTGAGGAAAAAATTAGAGACATATTGGATCAGAGAGGTGTTTCTCAAGTTGTAGTCATTTTTGTCAGATAAATAGGCATACCATAGCCCCAGGCTGTTTTCACAGTGTGGTGTAGGAGCTGCCAACATCAGAAGCAAATAAGAAACTTAAAAAAAAAAAAGAATGTAATCCTGGTGCCTACCTCCCCTCTGTCTCAAATGAATTTGAAAACTCTGAGCTTGGGACTGAAGATCTGCATTACAAATCAAGTCAATTCTGTGTATTGAAAGTTTGAAGGGTCCTAAGGGTCTCATATTCTATGGAAAAAGTTTTAAATAAACAACTTTTAAAAATATAATTGAAATCTGTAAGGTGCTGTACTAGTACATAACTCAGAAAGCATTTTAGTGTTAAAATATATCTATTAACTTATACTTCATCAAGATGAAACTTAACTTTGTGATGTTCCCTGTAACTTAAAATATGATACTTAGGGCCTCATCTGATGGAAGTTTTTCCAAAAATGAAAACTTGGGGGACTGAACTTTAAGGCTGGTTTTCATTAACATCACATATAGTCTTATTACCATTATGGTTTCATGAAATCCCACTTTCCTAAAATTCATTATACATTCTCTTTTGAAATACAAACTAGTCACTAGTTTTCTCAACACACTGTTGTCCAAGGAAGACTTATTTTTAGTAAGGGCTTGTTGGATTTAGCTCACAGCTAGGTTCAGCTGAAGTACAGAAACAGGTAAAATAAAACAAGCCGGGGGGAAAACTCCTAAATGAGCCACAGAAGTCCAACTTTATTTCCTTACTGCTCAGCATGAAGAGAAAGTTAGCAACATCCATATTAAGTATCTTGCAATCCACAAGTTTGTGGCTATAACTACACTGCCCATACAATTTAAATTACATAAAATTAAAAATTCAGTTCTTTAGTCACATTAGCCACATTTTCAGTGCTCAGTATTAATATATGGTTAGTGGTTACCACATTGGTCAGCACAGATAGAGAACATTTCCATAATTGCAGAAGGTTCTATTGGATAGTGCTAATCTAGAACACTAGCAAGCACACAAAGAACTGTTTAAGAGACCACAATAATCTATCAAACTGTACAAAGACATCTACATGTCATTCTATTTTATTTAGGATTGGCTACACATCAAGGAATATACTAGAAGCTTAGTGTTACTACAAGACTCAACAAGAGCCTGTGCTCAGAATAGTTAAGAGAATTCAAACAAGCAATGACAACAACCTGAGAAGTGCTATGATTCAACATGCTTGTTATGGGATCAGGAGAAAGCACTGCTATTTTTTTTATAGGGAGTCTGGCTATTAGAACGATAGATCAGAGAAGGCAAGATCACAGGGGAGATGATGATACCTGAGTCTTAAGTCTTGAAGGGTAAAGACCATCAAAGTTAGCATTCAGGCAGACAGGACCCTACAAAATGGTATGACTATGTAACTATGATTTGGGTAAACAGTAATCAATTCAGTGTGACTTGAACAGAGAGGTAGTGTTGGCGTGATGTGAAAAATTGCAGCAAGTGAAAAAGCTGTTAAGAACAGAAATTAGCCCATTGAGGGACCTGGTAAATCAGTGATGATGGAATTCATCCTGTAAGTAGTTAGGAGCCAGTGAAGGAGTTGCATCAGTCACTTGGAGGCTCTAGCTATGTTAGAACAATTGTCCTGGCAACATGTAAGATGGATCAGAAGAGGTAACAGAGGCAGAGCCAACTGGTTTATGGCAAATGAACTCAGTAACTAACCGATGAGAACAGAAATCATGGGATGGACTGAAAAGTTATTCAAAGGAGATAAAAAGGATATGTTGCTGAACCTCATGTCTAACTCTCAGTAAAGCAGTAGTCAAGGTCACCTGTACTGAGAGGGTAGGGGGAGAATCCCAGCTGAGGAAAAAGATAATACTGGGTTAAGAGTGAGGCCTCTGCTCAGGTTGGGTGGCCTTAATTGGTGTTGGAACCAATCTGTCTGGTTTCATGACTCACCCATACCAAAACAGGAGAGGAGAAAGCCAATGGTATGTCTGGAGACTGGATGAGCAAGTACAACAAACAGAAAATGGGCTCTAAATATGAGTGAGAGTTGCTAAGGTGCCTGATCCTGGGGATGCAAGGAAGGGGGCCTAAAATTCTAAGATAAAATTTTAAGGTTTAGTTAGGGTTTCTAATGGGGTGAGTATAAAACTCAGTCTGCTTTGGTCTCTCACTTTATCCCCAGGAAAAAGCTACAAAAAGGATTTTAAGTAGTAATAACACGCAGTCTTGCTGTAAAATCAGTCCCAGGTGAATGCCTGGACTCCATTTCCCTCCCCCACGCCTTCCATAATTACTTTGTGACACAAATTCAAGTCTGGGGGAAGACAGAAATTGGGCTCACCCTCAAAATCTGACACCTGCTCAAACCCCTGCAGGACAACGCCCCGGCACCAGGTTAAACCTGGGCAAAAGAATCCCGCCCATAATCTAGTCTAGATTCTAGGAGACTCGACATGGAGGCGATGACGAGATCGCGGGGGAGGGAGGGATTCTTCCAGGCCCAGGGCGGTCCTTAAACCGGAGACAACAGAGAACTCCCATAAAGGTAGTGCGGCGCTCCCCTCCCCCTGTCTGGAAGGGCGCGGCCTTCTCTCCGCCTCCACTGCCGCTCCTTCAGGGTAGCACCTCGTGCCGATTTGGGGAGAACATGCCCCTCCCATCCACACACCAGCAGGACCGACCCCCGCTCCTTTCCTCACTCCCACAGTCCGGGGGCAGATCGGGCTCGTAGAGCTTTTTAGGCGGCGGGTACCCGGGGCGGAGCCGAGGCAGCCGCCACCCAGAAGCCTCCGCCGGGCAACCCGCCCCCTCCTCCAGCGCGCGCTTCCTGCCACGTTGCGCAGGGGCGCGGAGCCAGACACTGCGGCGCTGGGCCTCGCGAGGAACGTACCAACGACCGCCACCCCCGCCGAACCCGCGCAGTGGTTTCGCTCAGTTGGGACCTGAGCCAATAGTAAGGGGCCATTCCCCGGATGCAGCAACCAATCAGATGTGGAGACCAGGCAGGCGGCGGGTAAACCGACTCCCCCGAAGGGGAGGGTGGCGGGACGCCCGCGCAGGAGCCACTTTCACTGACCCTCCTCCCCGCCCCCTGCACACACCCCACGGGAGGCCGACCGCGCCCGTAGGTCCAACTCTCCCCACCTACCTACCCACCCACCCAACCCAGAGAGCAATGCGAGACTCCCTAGGCGGCTGCGCACTCCCGAGCCTGTAACTGACAGACCCTGTACTCCAACCAAAACACGCCATTTGTGTTTTCACACACGGCGGGAGACGCGGCGGCCAATCAGTGACAAGAGCTGAGCCGAGAGCGCTCCTCCCTTTGCAGTAGCAATGGCTCCGTCCGGATTTGAGCCTTTTCCACTCCTCCCTCCCCCTCCGGTGGCCGCCGGGCGGGCCGCATTCCTGCCAGCCTCTCACCTCCTCTTTTCCTTCCAGCGTAACAAACATTATACGCCCGAGTTCCCGCGGGAGAAGGCAACCCCCGAGTACCAGTCAGATCCACGTAGCCACCCGTTTCCCCCACCGTGTCCACCGGCCTCCCTCCCGCCAGAGTCCCGCTCCCCTACCTAGCCGAGGCTCTCTGAGGAGCCGGAGCCCCAGAGCACAGCCTCTTCTCTAGGCGGCCCCGGCGGCTTCCGCTGATTGGCAACAAGTTGGCCAATGGGTGTAGGGCGGTGGGCGGAGAGGCCAATGGCGCGGCGGGAGGGGGCGTGTCCCAGGTGCCCCTGGCGCCGGCGCTGGTAATCCCCGTGCGGTCAGTGGCGTTTCCGCTCGGGCAGCGGCTGAGTGAGCTGCTGCTGCCGCCGCCGCCGCCGCCGCAGCCGCCGGGGGAGGGGCGGCCGCCGCCCGCTTGCGCTCAGAGACTCACGCAGCCCCAGTCCCGCCAGTCCGCCAACATTGTAGTGCCGCCCCCCCTTCCTTTGGCCCTTCCCCCACCCGCCTTTGCTCGCTCCGCCTTTCTGCCCCCACCCCCACCTCACGGGGCAGGGCATTCCCGGCCAGGAAAACGCCGTGGCGCCGCGTTGGGCCTAACTCGAGTCCTCCTGCCTCCCGGGAGTGCCGAGCGCCGCAGCCCGGGCCCAGGCCCGGCAGCGCTGGGACAAGGTAAGGGTCCGACAGAAAAGAGGGACCTACCCTCCCTCACACCGGGCCCCGGGAGGGAAGGGTCACCTCCTCCGTCTCCCCGCGCTCGCTTTCGGGACTTGGGCCTGGCCCTCCCAGGCTCTTAGCAGGAGGATGCTGCCCCTTCTCACCCCCCTCGTCACCCCCCTGGACACCATCGCATTCCTCTTCCCCGGGGAGAGAGGTCCCCTTCGTCATCCAGTCGACCCCACTACCCTTTTCATGTCTTTCCTGGGTCAGGACGCTTCCCCTCCCCCAACGTCTCTTCACCCCTTTTCCTGGGAACTGCCTCGTCCACGTTTACCTTTGACTTGAGGCTAGGCCTCTCGCTGTCCTCTTAACATACACAGGCATACTTTTCCCCCCCTCCCCAAACCCCCGCCCCAACCGCCCCGGTTCGCGCGGCCTGGTGACAACTCTGATGGTTCTGGGGGCCTGTGTCTCTTCATCATGTTCCTGGACGCCTTTCCCCTCGTCCTCGGGTCCCCATCCCAGATGATTGCTTCCTTTCCCACACCAACGGCATTGCCTTCGCCAGCCCCACCTCACATTTTGGGGTTCTCGGTGGCTTCTGCCCCAGTATGTCCGAGAGAGTCCTATTCTTGAATCGGTCGGGTTTGAGCTTGGAGTTGAGCCAGGCTGTGTCGTTCTCCCAGCCTTGGGCGTGGAGAGCGATCCTTTGAGAAGGTCTTTAAAGGCAGAAAAATGTACCCTTGATGAATCCCCATTCCCCCTGCGTGGGAGCTAAGGGATGCGAAGGGAATGACGGTGAGGGAAAAAAAAGCCCTGGTTTCTAAGTAGGTGAACGCGTGAGAGGGAAAGTTTAGCTGTTGGGAAAGCCCCCTCCATGCTAATTTATTCTATGGAGCTCTTTTGCGTCTCACTTGTTAGGAATAACTGATCTTTCCCTTGGATACGGATGCTGCAGCCAGCCCTGCTGGTCTGGGTCAGGGGTGCATGTATGACCTGCATTTTCTGCTTTCTCATGTTACTTGTGCAATGTGTGCACCAGTAACTCGTTTCGTGCCCAGATCTCCGGGTTCCATTGAGCTTTGTCTCTATTTTAGTTCATTTCTCCCTTTTCCTCCCTTGCTCATAGTACTGAAAGAATCCCCAGGTTCTCTGCTAATGTCTTTTCATCATTTGACTAAAGGAGTTGCTTATAAATGACTTGTAACCAAGGCCATACTTAGATTTTTTTGTTGTTGTTGGGCAGATCCAACAAAAAACTTTTGGTTGGGGAGGATCCAGCTGAGTTGAGCATTTATGAGCTTTTCGGGAGAATGTTTGTGTACCCCCTATTTGGGAAAATTTCTTGGTGGTTAATTTTATATCACTGATGCTTTTAGATCACTCAGGGAAAAAGTTATAAGTTGTAATTTTAGATGTGTGGAATCTGAGCTAGGACTAAAGCAAAGAATATTCACATATTCTGGGCCTCTTGAAGAACACAGGAAATTTTTTTTTATTGGATTTCTTCCAGTTTTCTCAGGAGGATCATTCGTTTTCTTCTATAGCCAAAAATTCTGGTCAGTTATGGGATTAGAGTTTTTAAGGTTTACTCAGACTGTCATGAAGATTCAGAAATGAATTATGTCCTTTGGTGGGGCATGACACAAGTCTCTATCTCTAACTGCAAATTTAAATTTGACTGTAAAGAGAGTTCTTGGGAAATTGGCCTTTTAAAGACTAAAGCTTAATCTTCACTCCTAAATTGCTGGCTTAATTAAAATGGCTATCTGGAATTTGGTAAATAGTGGTTTTTCTAATAAAAGGCCCTTAGTTTAAAACTAAAAGGATTTAGGGTGTTTCTTTCTCAAAGCATAATTCCAGCTCTTGGAACATTGATCCAAAAAAAAGTGTGTAAGGAGTGGGGGTGGGGTAAGAAAAAGGTTGTTCTTTGGGTTGGATCACAGGACTGAGTATACAAGGCAGCAGCAGCTGCTGGCTCTGGAACTCTGGTTGCTACGTGAGAAGCTTGAGTAGTGCTGGCTGCCGTCTCCAGGGAAGGACAGCAGTGCAGCCTCCATTAATGCTGTTGGCTGCAGGGAGCTCCACTTAGGCAATAGCTGCTTCAGGACTAAGAAGAAACCTTGCTTTCCTGGGAATTTTCATTGCTGAGCTGGTTTGCATTTTATTGGTGGGGAGATGAGAATTCATAACCTTCTACCCATTTATGGATATCAGCAACATCTAGAAACTGGATCTTAGAGTTTTTCTTTTTTGTTTGTTTCTTGGGGGTTTTTGGCAGATTTTTGGTTTTAATTGTAGATTTGTGCTTGAATAGGACTGAAAGTTTCATTAGAGTTTTAATATTTCAATCGATTTCATATTTTGTGTGTCTCCTTTCGTTTGTTAGGCCATATTTACCTTATTGAATAGATGTTTTGCTAAACATTTTACTAAATTTGTAATCTTAAACTCTAAAAAGAAGCGCCCTTTTCAAAATGACTTGTAAATATAAATCTTTGAAGTATTTTCTTAATTTCTGTATCAGTAATAGACTTCTGCAAATTGAATTATTTCTTTGGAGTTTGACCTATAAAATGAATTCATTACATGCGTATTGGAGGTAGTCTTCTAAGACCACAAGGATGTATGTTTGGCCATGATCCATCTGAGACATAGGACAGACCAGAAGGAATATTCAGAAATCGAATAAATAGTGTACAGGATACTTGAGAAGATGGCCTCTTATGTGGTTTCCCCTCCCCCACAGCTCCTGCACATTAGGAAAATCTTTGATTAAACAGAACAGTTTATTGAGTATGGAAGTACTTGAAGGAGAGGCACCATTCAAATATACCACCAATTTTATACAGTACTTAACAGATGGGTTGTCTCTTCCCCACCCCACAAGGTGCTTGCATGCTATATTTTTTCCCCTCAGAATTTTGTATGATTAGCTTTGTGTAAATGTACTTAAATCTATAATGTATAGCATGACTGGCATTTGTGGCAGGGAACCAAAAGAACGGAAATGAGTTGTGTCATTCACAAATGTGGCTTGTGTTGTCTCAGTGATATACACTGACTAATGAAACGGAACTTTTCATGGATAATATTTTTAGGTGGTTTTAATGTTATCACTATCATATATAAAAGATGCCATATCAGATAAATATGGTTTCACTCATAGTGGTTATTTAACATTTTAGATATGTTTTTTAGCTTAAGTTATATGTTAATGTTACCTTATAAAATAATCACTTGTGTTTTTTCACTTGTGTTTCCTTTTGTTTGGAATCCATCGTGATCTTGATATGATTATTTTCTGAAAGATCATAGAGGCCTTTTTCATAGGATGTATTTAATCAATATGCTTGAAAATTTTTGTATCTTCTGATACTGTTTTGTGTCTAGGAACTTACATACTTTCTGAAGTTATTCTGGCCTTTCTGGGGGAGAATGGTTATTTACTTTTGCCTTTGGATAGGAAAATAACATAGGGCAAAATGCAGATGTGCAGACAACCACTTTTATTTTTTCCTCTTCGTATTGAAATAACTTATGAAACATTAGGCCATAGTTAAGGATAGTCTGTGGTTATTAGGTACATATTATCAATGAGAAATTGGATCATAAATAGAATATAATTTTCTTATAACTTCTAATTCCACTCTGATGATTTGTCAGTTTAATTTGAAACTAAAAGGCCTCGCAGTGAATTTTGTTTATAAAAATTTTTCAGGTATTGGAAACTAAAGCTTGATAGGAATATTTTAAGACAAAACTTACTCTGACTGCAAAATGTGTGAGATAATGTATATTTTAATACAAATGATTGCTATTTGTAATTTGATTTAAAACATCCTTTTATGGGCTTAAAAAGTATGATAGACAGTAATTGGTACCATTTTTTTACAGCTAAAATTTCAAAAATACGTGGTAAAATGGCATTTTTAACCTTTCATTTGATTCAGTGATTGATTTACCTGTAAAGATTTGGGGAAGTTCATGAAAGATGAGAGAATATAATTTCTTTCACTTATCAATACATATTTTGTTAAACCAGAGTCTTATGAAAAGTATCCTGTCGTGTATTTGTCTAAATCGAGTAAAAGATACTCAGTAACTTGGGGGAGGGAGAAGCTGTTAGAAAACATCACTTTAGAGAATTCTTTTATTCTGACTAAATATATTCAGACTCTTTAACACTTTATGAAGCAAATTTGAAATATAACAAAGGAACAATGAAGCTAAATCTCAGTCTACTTTATACTAGCCCTCACTGAGCAAGGAATTTGTAATCCCATCCTGCCTCTCAGTTTTTGCACCATATTGATTTTGTTTGCTGAATACCTCAGGGAGAGATGTAAGGATCACATTAACTATCTTTGATATAAAGACAGGGGAAAGGAATTTTCTGCTTATTGGAATGAGATCTTAGTATTTTTTAAAAACTAAGGTTATTTGGCCAGGTTTGCCTCATGCATTCGACTGTTGGTTTGGTCTGACTGCTTTCTCTTCTGTGCTCTTCCTTTCTTCATAGCATGAGAATTCTGAGTTTTGATGGCAAACTAAAGTAATAAGAATCATTTTCTTAGTCATGTTAGTTATGTATATACACCCAGAGCTGGGAGTACTCCTTGACCTATGTTATGAATCACACACAAAAAAGCAAAGGACATAGGAATTTATACAGAATTTGTTTCTATCTGGGAAATCAAGTTTTTGTTGTGCTACCTAATTGAGGGAAAATGCCAAATTCCTAGCTGCTCTGTTTTAAAAAAGATGAAAACATGGGAGGAGCCTGAGACCTCTGCATCAGGATTTGGTCTGAGTAGAAAGGAAGATTTTTGTTTCAAATTGCCAGCTGCTTATGTCATACTGACTCCCTTATTATGCCTTTAGTTGGCCTGTCAATATGGCCAAACAGCTAGATAAGTGTGGGGCAGGACAAAGGGCTCTTTGCACAGCAGGGAGGCAATGTTGGTGGGGGAGGGGTGGGAGGTAGAAAAGACAGGAGGAGGAGGTTCTTTTCCCTGGGAGATTATTCACTTTGGCATACAATTAAAGAAATCATTTGTATTTCCTACTGAAGCATTGAATTTGTGCCAACCTTATACTGTTAACCTGAAATTTAGTATAGCCCTGAATATATGGTAGGGACCCATCCTCTCCTGCAAGGAAAAATAAAAAATTAAAGCTTTGTGTAGATGAAAAGAAAATAAATTCCATGCACTCCACTCTCCTAAATACAAGTCACCTCCTGAGTAGAGCAGTTCTGGAGCCTCTAGAGCAGAACTCTCATTTAAGAAATGGAAAAGGATATTATAGCTGAATAAAACTTAAATTTCAACATACACATTGTCTTTATTTGAGTTGGAGTTAGACCAAAATAGGTAAAAAAAATAATTTGTTTCCCTTTGTAAAATAGTTGCATATCGTTAATTCCAGTTATATAATGTAGAGAACACCCTCCAGCATTTACATGTTGGCTTGCCATCATGTACAATGCTAACTGAAGAAAGGCTACTTACTGTTTCAGTCTTGCCCTGCTTCCTGAAGAACCTGATATTCCCCAGAGATTTTTCCTTCCCCCACTTTTATAGTGTTGGCACTGCCTTGTTTGATACATCTTGCTTAATTCCCAACTAAAAGTGTGGTGGTTGCATCCATGTTACTAGAATTAATATGAATCTTAGAGTTGGAAGAGATCTGTGGGTTATCTGGCACTTACAGCAAAATTATAATGAAATATTCAAAGTTTGGGCCCAATGGAAGTTTTCATTAATATGTTAAAAGGCTCAGTGTTCTGAACAGTATTTTTAGTTACTTTTAAAATAAATGTTGATACTAGTACATGTGTGTTAGTTGTGGGGTTTTTCTTACCAAAATATTAAAGAATTGCATTCATAGAAAAATTAGATAACAATTATTTGGATTGCAAAAGGATTCCTCCTTAATAAAGGAGTATATGCTGAGTTTCTTTTAAATGCTTAATATATTTTAAGAGAATTTGATGTTTAGAAATAATTCGTTAGAACTCAGTTTTCCAAGAGTACATCTGTTGCTGAAATTAAGATGCCACCTGTATTGCAATGTTATTAAACTAGCCTTAAAGTTTTCCCTTCTATCCAGACTGCAGGAGACTAACTGTAAGGACACTGCAATGCTAATTTTTACTTATGGATCCAGAGATTGTGACTGTTAGCAAAGAAGAGGTGTGTGTTTTAACTTAGTAAAATAACTAAAAACTGCCTTTAATTCACATTGTAATATTAAGCAAGCCTGACCAAACTTTGTGCCTTTTCTCTCTGCAAAAGAAAGATACATGTGTTACCTACTTAACTTTAAATTTCTGTGTGTATTGGTCTTGGCAGCAATGACATAATATTTTGTCTGAAAAGGGATATTTGAGTGACTTAATTATGATTGTCGTTTAGAACTTTTTTATCAGTAAAATAGCAACAATGTTACCATGAGATTTAGTAGGCTATATTTTCTCTCACTATAGAAATTTAAGGTAGTTAGTTGTTCCTTCCCTTTATAATTCATTCACATGGATTATTTCCATAGATTTGTGGGACTAAAATAGAAGCCATCTAGTTCAAACCTGACCTCTATTCCAGACAGTTTTCTCTACATGTAGTAAGACCCACATTGCTAGCTCTGAGGAAAACATTGTCTCTGCGCACATACACATACCCCACTTCCCAGATAATTAGAAATTTTTTCATGGTGGCTTCTACTGCTCCTGTTACCTGAATCTTGCCAGAGGACCTAAAAAGTTCCTGGCAAAAGTATGGTGGGGAGGGGGGCACATTTTGATCCCAACGGTATCGATAACTGCTTTGTCTCCCCAAACAGCTAGTCTCATTTTCAATAAAACCCAGCCAGCAATAGGCTATAATGGAGGTAAAATGTAGCACTGTATCTCATCTTGCCATTGCAGCTGCTCCACCTGATTTCCTGCTATTATTATCCCACAACGCTTCTCCCCAGCAAAAAAGAAACTAGGACAAAAGGGGAAAATTGAATGGTTTAATAGGATTTTTACTATGATTATGGATTTTTTATATGTACTTAAATATGAAGTTCATTTGTCTTATTCCTAAAAGTCAGTAGTTAAAGAGACTTTGTAACTTCAGTGTCTTCTACTTTCTTGATAAACCATTTCAGATTCTTAGCTTTATAGAAAAAAATATTTTTACATATAGTTAATTTTCATTGGCTGTTCACACAGTTGTTATTACGACCAAATGCCACTGCATTATTATTACTGGCTTGAAGGGAGAGACTCTCTTCTGTAGATAATATTTGCAGTTTGTATTGAGAATTACTAATTTGTGTAATTCAGATTTATAACTAAAATAATGTTAAAAATTAAACCTTCATTTATGCTTACCTCTATTGTAGTGGAGGCGAAATTGTTAGAATATAAATTTTTCATTCTTCAGAGTTCTTTCTTCAAGCTGCATAATTAATGTTCTTCAGATCTTCTTTTTCCCATACCACCACTCCCCCCCCCCCCCAAAAAAAAAAACACCAAGAAATTTCATTTTTATCATTTCTATTGTTGCCTTTGGCCGCTGAGATTTTCTCCTTCCCACTCCTGAAATGTGAAGACTCATAAAATCCAGGAATCTAATAATGTGTTCATTGCTGAGTATAGTAAGAGGATTATTTCATAATTCTTAGAAATTATTATCTGAATAGGCTGTTTCAGTATCATGTTAGCATATTTAATAATGTTGGCATGTTAATTTTAACATATGTCCAAGATGTATCTCATTGTTTTAGATTTACACCCATTGTTTGTCGTTTTTATATGAGGTTGTTTCTTTTCTGCGTCGCCCCTCTCTCCCCCCCATGTTCATGGTTTTGTATTGTATTAAATATATTTTAT